CTTCCAAAAACCTGGACAAATTCAGTCAAAATCAGACAAGAAAATGATTTCCTTTACTGACCTATAATTTATAAATCCAGATTTCTTCCTTTTGGCTAAGGCTCTTTTGTATTTCTTTGTAGTCAGGGCTGGACTGGTAATCTGGCATTTTCAAGATATAACGACGCACTTTGGGGAGATGAGCCGTCTTGAAGGGCTTCTGTACAAGCACTTACAGCGGCCCATTTTAATTACTGACACTGGATTACCTAAATCAGACCTCTTAACTCAACCGCCCCCTTCGCTGTGCTCTCACGCACCTTTTGGGAAAAGTGAGGAAGAAGTGGCTAAAAGGTGGAGCTGAAAAGCTGAGAGAAAACAATAAAAAACAAACGAATAATAGAATCCTCTCAAATTAGCTGACACGTTAACTGGGAAGTAACGAGGTGGGAAGTAAGTACAAATGCTTTGTTACTGTACTTAAGTAGAATTTTCAGCTATCTGTACTTTACTTTACTTATTTTTCTTGCAACTTTTTACTTTCACTCCCTACGTTTCAAGAAAAATATCTGTGCTTTGTGTTCCTTACATTTTCAAAGCAGAGAAGTAAAGTGGGCGGGGCGAGTCAGCTGTTAGCTAGCGCTAAAGTAGAATGAGCATAAAGGGAGTGATGTTTCTCCACGACATAACGTTTCAACAGCATTTCTATCATCTCAACAAACATCAGCACACACACAAACCCATCGTGTGTAGTCACACAGTGTGTTGTTACAGCTGCTGTGTTACTCAGGCAGAGAAACAAAAGAGAGGTAACTGCACTCAGAGATGGAGAAAGACCGGACAGGAAAAGAAGACGAGAGGTTAAATTTAAAGGTAATGGCTGCTCAGGGATACCTGATAAACTGCAGATTTAAATGTGTGATGTCATAATTTATGTAAATACATTTTTGTGTCATATTAATATAGCAGAAGGTCCAGTTACCTGTGCATAAAAATGGTTGGTAGAATTGTCCTTCAGGGAGCTACTTTTTACTTTCTTACTTTGAGTGCATTTCAGAGCCTGTGCTTTTTCACTTTTACTTGAGTAAAGAAATTGATCAATTCTTTTACTGGATTTTTTTTAACACACGTATCTGTACTTGTATCCTTTCCAAAGAGTACATCAAATGGAAGCGCTTCTTAAAACAACTTGAAGTGATCCTCTTTTGAAACAGTCCTATTTTTATAGAGGTTTCAAATAGGTATTCCTGGTTGGCTGAATAGCTTTCCAGGGTACAGTAAAGTACTCTAAGGTACAGGCTGAACTGCTGTCAGGTGAGTGGGTAAAATTTTGTATTTCAGTCTTCTATTATGTTGAAATTACTCTCCCACTAAGTCCACCAACTCTAATGGGCAGTAATTTTGTTTGATTTGCAGTAATGTATATATTGTTTATTGCTGTGTAATGGCACACTGGTCCAAAACCGAGACACTCATATATCTACGTATTATTTTTCTTTTAGCATAAATCAAAACTGTAATGATTTGACTTTATTATTATTGAATGGGGTTTCATAACTACCACATATAGAAAAAATCATTACATTTCAGTAAAATCATTACATTAAAATCATTGGTAAATTAAGATAATGTTTAACCTACTAATATATGGGAGAGAGAGAGAGACCAGAACAGAATGTGATAATTCAG